GAGCCCCGACTGCAGAAGTTGCAATTCTCCAAACAGCTTTAATTTTTATAGGATTGTGTGATTTAAAAAAAAAAAAAACATATGCAAACTTAGCGGAAACATTGTTTTTTTTTTAAAGGTTAAAATAATGCTACTAAAATGCTACTTAAGTAGCATTTTTAGTAAGCAGCATTTAAGTAATTAAGTAGCATTTTAGGAAGAAAAAAAACATTTTTACTTCTAACTGAGCCATTCTGTCCACCATAAATGTTTACAACAAAATTCTCAAACGCAGATATTTTTATTTACCTTATGCCAGTTTGGTCAATCTCTATAAAAATACCAATGTTTGTTTGTTGATAAGTTCTGAATTATTTTAAATGTAAAATACTTGTAAGTTACACGTCTTCTTTGAGTCATCTGGTTCATCTGTGTCAATGAGCTCCTTATGCAGCTACTATCAAACATGCAAAGCATTCAAGGACTGGGGCATTGCATCAGCTATGCAGGAGAAAACTGTAGGATAATAAAGTCATATTTTTACCTAGAAGGTGTCGCCAGGGTGGAGTTCCATCAACTCCACCAGGACGTTAGCAGAAGCTCTTTGAGCATCTAAAGCAAAGGGTTTAATTCTATGCTATTCTATGTTTTTTGCAGAGGCAAAATGTGCTTATGAGAACCTGGAAGGTTTGACTTGGTTAGTTAAGTCAGAAACTGCAGCAAGTTTCCTCTTTGAATCTTACTTTCCAACAAATGCAGCTTGTGTGTGTAACCTCGGTGATTTTGATCGATCAGCATAAATCAGTTCTGCGTTGTGTGAATAAGGGCCAGGAGACAGGATGAGATGAAACGTCGTTTATCTGTGCGAAACAGAATATGGACTGATCAGGAATCGGGTTCGTCACAGCGGGTTCAGCACCTCGCGCCCATCTCTCATGAACTGGCCAACAGCCATATTTAATACATTAATATTGGACAGAAATACAAAGAAATAACACAACATGTACCTGTGCGAAACAGAATATGGACTGATCAGGAATCGGGTTCAGTGGGTTCAGCACCTTACGAGGGACAGCATTTCATGTTAGCAACAAGCTAACATAACATTTTACTGGAGAGTTAAACTCAGTGAACCTACCTCGCGCCCATCTCTCATGAACTGGCAACGAGATGTCTTGGTTCACTATATTTAGCCCTGCCAACCACCAGGAGGGGGTGCTGTTTCACCCTTTACACATGAACCCAAACTGGGAAGTAATGACAAGTGGAATTCTATACAATATTAACTATGTTACATNGGATAAATATATTATATATCA